GGGTTATCTACTGTGCTTAGGTTCATTCCATCTTTTACTACTTAAGAAAATGGAGGGACTGGGGATTTAGCTCAGTGGCACAGCACCTGTCTGGCAAGTGCAAGGTCATGAGTTTGATTCCTGGTACTGCAAAACAATGAAAACCAAAGAAAAGTAAACTAAGCAGTCTCCATGACTAAAAAATTCATGTTTTGTTCAAAACTATGTAACTTTTTGAATTTATTATTCAATTAATATGCTGCCTTGGAGCATAGTTGAGATGACTATGGACTGAAACCTCCAAAAACTTTAAGTTGAAATAAACCTTTCTTCCTTTAACTTATGAGTGTCAGGTGTTTTGTGTCAGTGACAAGAAACATATCTAAGACAGAAACACCAGTTATAAAGTACTTCAGTTCCAAAAGATTCCTGAAAAGCAGTCTGATAAGAACAGATTTCGTATCATATGTTGGGGCTAATTTAATATCACTGTTTTACACAGTGATTTGTTTTTCTAATGTTTTCCAACTACTGTAAGTCAAAATATTAAAGAGTATATTTGTCCCTGCACAACAGAAATTTCTAATAATTGAACAACTCATTCTTGTTCATTCAGTAATGCAGCACCTAATGCTTGGCATCAGTTAAAACCAAAAATTGTTGGGTTTTATGGGACAAACTTAGTATCATATCTTGGGGCTCAGCAAGGATCTGTGGAGACTAATCTAACTCAGGGTTTCATGAAACTCCTCACCAAGACAAAATATGAACTAATTCTGCAGAACAGCATGAATCAATGAAGCCAATAGTAATACATTTGCGAAACTTTACATATTTTTTTAATCCAATGATTTGTTTTACAGATACAAGTTTTCTCCTTTAAACTATATGTAGATTTCATCAATTTGGCATATGACTTTTATTAAAAAATACTAATATATTTCCTTTTATCTGAAATTGACTCTTTCAGTACTCAAAAAATCTTGTCAATATATTTATATGTATTTATTACATAATATTCTTCTCCCTTTGAAAGAGGATGCTAGTGCAAATATTAATTATATAGCCAAGCTTTTACCAGAATAGTTTATTTGAAAATGTGTAGAATGCATGGCTACAAGTATCTCTTAAATTACAGTTAGTAGGGAAAATATAATTTCCAGGCAAACCCAGGGATGTCAACCTATTTTGGAATTTTGAGTAGAGCTAGATTCTTTCAATTCCATATGGAGAACTCTAAAATATCTGAAGCTTGACTTATTTGTATCCCTAAAATTAAGAGGCTTTTAAAAGCATTATGCAGCATTCCTTGAATCTCTAGAGAGATTTATGTAATTTTTGGGCTGAGCTTGATGATACTATATTTATTGTACTTTGTTTAGATTTCTTAGGAATGAGGGGTACTTCAGAAAAAATGTTTTGAAAGAAGAACTATAATACACCTCTTATTAGATATTCTTCACTAAATTTTTGTGTTTCTTGTCTACTTTTAGATTGAGGTATGTCCTGAATTCTGTTAGGGTTCTCCAATACATTTTTCTGTCATAGAACACAAGAGAAAAGCTGCTCTGTTGCTGAACTGCTCTGGTGCTGAAACCCTGTACACTGGAACTGGACAATTTGATGCAAATTTTGTTTTTTGTTTTTTGGTTTTTTTCCAGTACCGGGAATCGAACTCATGAGCTTGCACTTGCCAGGCAGGTGCTGTGCCACTGAGCTAAATCCCCAGCCCTGATGCAAATTTTGAAAGGCACACTTAATGTGTGGTGCGTGGGCAACTCAGAGAGCTCATCAAATATTTCATGTCAGTGAGCATAGATGTAGCCCAGCAGCAGCATGTCTTCCTAATGTGTACAAGCCTTTGGTTTTGGCATGCAGTACAGCAAGAAAGAAAAATGATATTTTGAATCAGCAAAAGAAGTTGATGACCTCATGCTATGTACATCTTTCCCAAATATGTAGGAAGAAAATTCTCCATTGTCTTGAAAATGTTTCCCTCCTAATTGTCTCTCGCTTATATCTACCTCCTTCACTTGGGGAGCTTATTCTGTAATTAGCATTTCAGCAACCAGCGTTCGTTGGGTGTAGCCTGAAGGACTTTGGTCCCATCTGATTTTAGCAAATCTTTACATGACTTAAGGCATTGAAGGCAAATCTGTGGCTGCAGTGGGCATGTAGAGCCCTCTCTGCGAAAACGGGAAGATGGGTTGTTTTTCTAAAGTAAACCCTTAGTGTTGAGGTTTAATTGCAGCGTTGAAACTTTGCAACGCCTACGTGAGTTTGGGGTTAAAGTTTGGGCACTCGATATCTAAAGCTGCACCATCACGTGGAAGAGATCCATTGTTCCATCCAGTGTCTAACTGCACCAACATCTGTGATGAAAATATGTGTTTAGTTTGTGCTGGTGCCCCCACTTGTAAGGTCAGCGTTTTAGAACCAAAAGTTCACAATTTTTGGTTTTAATTGATACCAATCATTAGATGCTAGATTACTGAATGAAAAAGAATGACTTGTTTAATTATTAAAAATTTCCATTGTGCATGGACAAATATACTCTTTAATATATTGACTTACAGTAGTTGGAAAACATTAGAAAAACAAATCATTTTTAAAACAGGTAGAGTTCTTAACAGTTTTTAAAAATTTACTCAATTTTATCTGGTTGTTTATTGGGGAACATGAGTAATAAGAATATTCCAGACTCTTTATGTTATCGTCCTGATAGCCGAATTGTTACTCTAGTGAGCTACAGTTTCTTTAAAATTTTAAATATTTGCAGCTATCAGAGAATGAGAAACTATAAAATGAAAACTATGGAAGAATCTTGATTTTACCAGAGCTCATGCATATAGAACAGACTAAACCAAAAGGAAGTGATTCATGATCAATATCATCTAATCAAACTTAAACTTCAGGAAAGCAGATCTAAAAAGAGACCAGTTATTTCTTAAAATAAAGATTTCCAGATTATTGGAGAAGGAGTAGTAAGGAACTCCCTCTGCCTTTTGCAAAAATAAATTTTGTAAACTAGTATATATGAATGATTCACTTGACATTTAATCTGAAAAGAATAAGATGATGAAGAAATATAATGTTTGCTTGGACCAGTTATGAATAACAAATTAGTTATTATTTGCCAAAAGAAAGAAAACTCAAGACCAGTTTTCTTAAAAGGTAATTAATGAAGAACAAGAGATTATTAATATTTATGTGGACAGGAGTGGGATAAACAGTGGACGAGTGTGACAGTTTCCTGAGCAGGATGTCTCTTGTGTTTGCAGGTGTCCAGGCTGAGGTGCAGCTGATAGAGACTGGGGGAGGCTTGGTGCAGCCTGAGGGGTCCCTGAGACTCTTCTGTGTGACCTCAGGATTCACCTTTTGGGATCATTGGATGAACTGGACTTGCCAGGCTCCAGGGAAGAGTCTGGAGTGGGTTGATTTTATTAGGAACAAGGGTAATACTCACTCAACAGAACATGCTACATCTGTGAAAGGCAGATTCACCATCTTTGGGGATGACTCCAAAAGCACAAACTTTCTGCAAATGAACAACCTGAATATCGAGGAGACAGCGGTGTACCACTGTGCAGGTGAACAGTGAGGCGACGTCAGTGTGAGCCCAGACACCAAACTCCCTGCAAAATTATTTGTTATAATATTCCATATATAAAAGCACACACACATAAAGTATATAAAATCATTCATTATGTAATATGTACCATAATATACATTATTATATTTTACATATTTATACATTAATAAAGAAATACATATACAAAGTATACAAAATGCCAGAAAGTAATGCAGACTTCAAGAAAAGAAAAATAGTACCATGTTTTCAACAGATGGTGTTACCTTCATACGGGGCACCAAAGAGGATGTTGTATATCACTGAAAACCCACTACACCCCTGGCCCTTACAGAAGAAACTGAAAATGCACCTAACATAGTGTGCTCCTATTCCATACATTTGCTGAAAAGTACACAATTGCAATTTTCAGAGAATATGGAGATTTGAGTACTGTGTAAATTATCATACATCATTTTACACTTTACTTATTTGTGCTCTGTTAAATATTAATAATATATTTATTCTTCCTTCTGTAAAATTTCAGCTTACTTTACCCTTCCTTGTCTTGCTCACTGACTGATGAATACAGATGTTCCATTGGAATGCAGATGTTCATTATTACAAGCTTCTTATTCTCACTGCTTCTTTCTACTGTACCCCAAGAGTTTTCAGATTGTGCTTTACTTTTCATCTTGAAGGTGCTATTCAATTACCCTGTCATTAATTTTTTGATGCAAGCATTGTTTGAAAGTGCATTTTTTGGTATCTATATATCCTTAATCACGTTCCATTGCAAATAATAAAACATCACAAACTGGAAGCTAATTATTTAGAGGTTAAGGGTTCCCCAATGGTGCACATGGTAAAGCTGTGTTGCCTAGATTGGTTCCATGAGGAAGTGGTAAAGTATTTTAGAGGCAAGGGCTGGTTGGAGGCCCTTGGCCATTGCTCATGGCCTTTGAAGGGGACAGTGGGCCATGGAGTGATTGGATTTTCTCCATCATGTTCTTCAACCATGATTTGTGGCTACATCCAAGGTAACGCACCACATTTATCATGCATTGAAACCTCTAATACGGTGAGTCGAGCTAAATTTTCACTCAGGTACTAGTTAAAGTAATAGACAAAGCACAGTAAATAAGTACTGAGAAGTATGGTGGTCATTACTACCCCTGAGATAATGTGGAGAAGGCTTGGAATATTTTTCTTGGAAAGTTTGGAAAGTGCTGAAGGTACAAACTGTAGCAGAGCTTCATGGGAGATTTCTGTGGAGGCAGAGACAACAGATAGGAATGCAGTTAGTGAGGTTACAAAGCTGAGGTTCCAGGTGGGAAAAAGGATACAATTAGGACTTGAAATAAAGGCCACAGCATACACCATGGAAAAGACCTCGGCTGCATGTCATCCGTGCTTTGAGACTTGTGGGAGGCAGAGTTCAAAGACACTAAACAAATTTACCTCCCAGAGCACCTTTTAAGCAGTACAGAATTCAGGCAGCAGTGGGAGTACTACAGGCTGCTTGTAGCCAAATTTACAGTAAGAATTGGGGACAGAAAGTGTCAGAGGAGTAAAAAATTCCCAGCTTGACCACCAAAGCAGCACAAGTACAATTGTACCCAGGGAAAGGGCAGGTGTAAGGAAGTGAGCACCATTAAGAAGAAACCATGTCCTCTGCACTAGAACCAAAGGAAAGAGAGCATGCTGGCATCTGAGGAGTTCACAAGGCCACAGCCATTGCAGCATAAACGATATCGATAAGCAAATCTATTTCTAAGGCTTTGCAGGCTCTTTCAGAAGAATGCCTGGGATATTTAGATTTTCCAGGACAACTTGAGCCAACTAGACAGTCAGAGGCCACTACAGCCTTGGCTCCAGTGAGTGCTGGTACATACAGTTCAGGTCCATGGCAGACCTTCACATTATCATGTGATACTGGTCATGCAGGAATGCAGAACGCAAGAGGTGTGCAGTCATGAGGCTTCCACTGAAATTTCAAAAGAAAGCCAGGATGCAGGCAATGTTCAGCAGGGTCAAGTTTTGTGAAATCAGTGGGTGATGTATGGAGCTGTCAGATAAAGCCAATGCCACAGCTGTGATGGGGGGAGTTAGTGATACCAGGGATATGAAACACTTCCCATGGGAAGTTACAAGAATTGTGAAATCCAGCCCAAGGAAATAGCTGCATGCGCTGCAGCCAGGACTAGGAATTAGTGACATTATTTTCTCATTTCTTGGTTAACCTATTTATTACAAAGCTATTTGTTCTGGTACTGGGAGTCAAACTCAGGACCTCACGCTTACCAGGCAGGTGCTGCACCACTGAGCTATAGCCCCAGCAAAGCTATTTGTTCTAACAGTTTGTTTAGACCTCAAAAACCAGAGTCCTAAAAGGTTGTGTGTAATACAACAAGCTTGAGACATTTTTAGCTAAATGTATAACCTTGAAGCCATACTCTTAAGTGAAATAAATTTGACACACATGTTTAAATGCCGTATTGTTTCTCTGGTGTGATAAACCAAATGTATAAGTAAGGACAAAAATGTATAATAGATATTTGGAAACGGGAAGAAAATGTACAAATGAGAAGGGGAACAAGTGAGGGGGAGGGGAAAAGGAAGGAAAGGGCAAAAATAGATGGAAAAAAGCTTTTGCAAATTAAAGAGAAGAGAGGTAAATAAGAGTAAAAGTGGGGTGGGGAATGGGAAAAAAAAAAGCAAGATATATCAAGTACAGGTACAAATTCCCCATGATGAATGTGATCATGATGCATACCTAAATTGTATCAATAAAATTAAATGGATAAATAAAAGTATGACTTTCCAGATTGAATGTAGTTCAGATTTCCTAATTTACTTCATTATTCTATTTGCACTCCTGTAATACTAGGTCGTTTAATGTTGTCGGATGAAAGCATGTTTTCAAATCAAATTTTGAAAGTCTTCTAACAATTTACTGTAAATGGTATTTTATTACTCTATCTCATTTAACTTGACCTGAATTTCACAAAAAAGTCATTCCACAGAAGGAAAGCTGGAAAGCTAGGAGGAAATGGAAGAAGTAACAATGGAAGGAAAGAGGGAAAGAAGAAAGTAAGGAAGAAAGGGAATAAACTGTTTGGATGTAGTTTGGAATTTCATTAAATTGGAGAATAATTTGGAAAAAATGCCTCAATAATGATTTATTATTTATCAACCATTAATATACATTTTAATATTTATCAGTGATATTTTATTCTAGTTTTTACAATTTTGGATATTGACTTTTTCAGGGTACTTTACATGATTCCATCAGTGGCAAATCAATGTTATATTTTTTATTTAAAATTTGTTTTGAAGTCACATTCTTTGATACTGCTTATTTCCTATGTTAGACTAAAGTCTTTATATCGCTGCCTCATCGTGAGAAAGTGCTCAGGTGGCTCAAAGGTGGGGCTGTTTCAGCAGTTTTTCTGGCCTTCACTCTTGAAAGTATGTTTCTCTTCAGAATTCAGATATTTCATATGACCCTGGATAAAGCATGAAGCGTCTCTGAGGGAGTTGGAATGCTTGCTTTTCTTTCATCTTCACTTTTTTTGCGAATATTGCTATGATGCAACTCTAATTTCTTCATTTACACAATAATTCTATTCCTTTTAAGGGGCCATATATTCATTGTCATGAATTAAAATGAGTAGATTGAGAGACAGTGTGAAAATCTTGGCAGTGAAGCTGACTGCCTCATTCCCAACAGCAGGCCCTCTCTGTATTCCATTTTGTCCTGGGCTGGCCCGCACTTATGATGTTTTCTGACATCAGGGCATTGACTCTTCCATAGGACGTTGACCCTGCAACCTTCTAAGCACATGTGACCCATTTTCAGGAAGAGTCCACTGAGTCCATTAAGAAAACCACAGGAGCTTTGAAAACCCTGGAGCAACCCCCCAAGACGGAAGTGTTCCTCAGGTGAGGTGAGATTGACTCGTGGGAAAAAAGACTAGTCCGGAAGTTCCTGGGTCACAAGCTATCATTTGAGCTCCGCCCCTGCTGAACCAGGTTTGTTTCTCTTGCAGGCTCAGCTGAGCTGAGTGACAAAGGAGCAGGAGCCAATCGGCGATGAAGACGCGGCCTGTCTGCACTACCCAATCAGGCCAGGTGAGGGAGGAGGGCACTTCCTGTGTGATGGCGCCACACTGCAGACTGAGTGTGTTGCTGATAGCCCCCCTGACTGGACCACCATTTTCTGTAATTTCTACTGGCTGTGAGCTGCATTAGAAGGATCCTAGGAGACCATCAACCCACGCCATGGTAACTTTGATGGGGGCTGAGCTGGGATGGAATCTGGCGTGTTGTGTGTGGAAGTGATTAGAAACGGCTGTGGCAATCTGCAGCCTCCCTGTTTAGCTCCGGACGCTGGCTTCTTAGTCTTTGGTGCTGCATCATCATCTGAAACCTTTTCCCCTTTGCTTAGGCAGGGACAGTGTTGCGTTCCCTGCATACAGTCCGAATTCTGACACTACCAGTCCAGAATACCTTCTCGGTCAGCCCCTGGCACAAATGCACCTACACCAGTCTGGAGTGAGCAGGGGCTTTAGAGGAATTCCTGGGTTCCATTCACAGCAACTAAAAAAAAAAAAAAACTTTAATTTTTTATGTGAGCCCTCTCTTTGTAATTATGTTGCTGTACAGAAAGAACTGGAGGTCTCAAACAACGGAGAATGGTGTTGCAACCCAAAAGAAGAATGTTAGGAGAGATTTTGTTGGAAATAATAATAGCTCCCTGATTTCCGGAAGTGGCCCTATGGCGTGGCCCTGTGGCCACTCAATCCACAACTAATTATAGATAAACGGAGCACCAAAAAATAAATAAATAAACAAAGCACAGTGAATGCTTAGTTGTTTAGTGGGCATCTATCACAGAGGGCTCTGTGGATTTAAAACTACCGCTTTGAACTCAGGCTCTCTGACTCATTTCCTCAGCATGCACTGTTAAAATGAAACTGGGATTTTAGAGGAACACTGGACGTTTTGTGTTTTAAATTGCTGGAAACTCAGAAATGTAGTAGAGAGTGGCTGCCACTCCTTTTAGGAGGGAGGTGGCTGCATTCCTTCTAGGGCAGCAAGTTCACTCTTGGTCCGAATTTCTTGGAAATTGGCTGTTCTCATTTTAATTCTTATCCAAAAGGCTCATTTCCCAACTCTGTGTCAGGCCCTTCCCAAGTTAATTGCTTTATTTATAAACTATCTAAATTATTTTTTCATATACACTATTTAAGTGAAGTTTTCCATAGAATTTAGGTTAGTAAGAAAGATGAGGGGATATTAATGTATTACCAATGGAGGGGAAATTGTTCCCGCTAAGAACTTCCCTAAGGGGCTGTCTGTTAAACTCCCAGAGATATGCACTGAACTGGGGCATCCACAGTGATATGTACATGTGATGTTGGTATAATGGGTAAGAAAAAGGGGTATCATCTCTTTATTAACTGCCTTGTAGTCTGTGGACAGTTTCTAGACATTGATTTATAAATTGAAACACTAACATGTTTATATAAAACAAGTACTGAAGTAGGGGTAAATTCACATAGTTAATGTCTGCAGGCATATGAATAAATAGAACGAAAGAGTTGTAAAAAGGAAATAGGACAGCAGGGGATTTTGGAGGATGCTAAAAATTAGCAACTACAACGGTAGTAATTTCAAGAAATCAGACTGTTCTTAGTGTAATAATAAATGAAGGATTATTTACTAGTTAGTTCTGAGATTGGGTCTAAGGTCCCAGGCTTAAAGAAAGGACAACTTAATATTAGAGAAACGTAACTTCTGTGGGTACTGATGGGCTCATCTAATCATTTTTTAGGGCAGAATTAGAAATTAGGAAACTGGTGGTGTTATATGACTAAAAATAGGCAGGACATCATCACTGATGTAGAATGGGAAGGAGTTTGTCTTGGACAGAAAGCTTTCGAGATGTGTTTGATCTTTTTCATTATGCAGGATGGAACTTAGGAATTTTGCCCTGAGTTACTGCCTCCCAAATGTTTTCTTTTCTTTTTTTTTTTTTTTTTAATTTTTGAGACCGGATCTTATGAAGTTGCCCAGGCTTGTAAGAAATTTTGATAATCTCTGGCTGCTTGATTGTTGGGAACACAGACATGTGCCACCTGGCTAGTTTTAGATTGGGATTCTTCAGTCACCATGATTTACCAAGGTTTCAGTGTGGGGTAAAATAAACATCACTGAGGCATGGTAGTGCACATTTTTAATGCCAGCTATTTGGGAAAATTTGACAGGAGTATTAAGTCACCAAGCTAAGTCTGGCTAACTGAGCAAGACTTCTTTTCAATATGCACTAACAGTTTGGGGTGTACCTCCACTCCAGACTGACTTGTCTAGTATGCACAAGGGCCTGAGTTAGGTTTTCAGTAATAAAGAGAAAAAGAAAAGTTTAGAGCTAACCTTACTTTTACTTTTGAAACTCACTTATTTTTCACACTTGTGGTGGTAACTAGTACAATACTTCCTCATGGTGGTGGATAGTAGTAACGAGTCACTGCTCTGTCAAAAACAGGACACCATGGGCGAACAGTGTTTTATAGTGTACTGTAATCAGAAAAGTGCAGGAGTTATTTAGTGTTTTAATATGAATTGGACTTTGTGCTACATGCATTTCCTAAGTACAGGAAATGTTGAGCAGGATTTTAGAGGAACACTGAACAGCAGCAATGTTCCTAAGTACATGTGTGTTGAGCAGGTTAAATGGACAAAAGGCTTAGCCATGATGGTCATTTAATCCAGTATATTCTGTGCCTTGTCAATACATTTTATCTGCAGTTACCTTTTTCTGATGTAGATGTTGTCTCTTTCCAACTCAAGTAGCATCTGTAGACTCATTTGTTCAGCTCTTCATGCAGTCCTAGGTAGAACATGACACTCACCAGATTGTTTCTTGTTTTGAATGTTGTAGTAATGAATTTTTCCTGAGCAACTAAATTAGAACAGTATAATATGTTTCAAAAAGTGAAAAATACTCTCCCAGTTTTTTTGTTTTAGTTTGATTTTTTTTTTTAATTATAAAGAGCTGCAAAATTCTGGTGACATTGTTTGAATTAATCACCATGACAACAGGATAGGATGGAAGTTTTCAGTGAAAAAACACAGGCCTGAGTAGATCGCACACAAGACACCAAGCATGTGTAAGGTTACTGGAAAAATATTTCCATTTCTTGTTTTAAAGTACACTAATTATAGGAACTGTTCTAATTGCTTTAACCTTGATCAGCATCCGCCTTTCTACATTGGAATTATTCCTCCTGAAAGCAGTTTAAGTTCCAAGCTTGGATCTATACTTTACTTTATTATCCTACAGTTAGTATGCTATTCCTATGCACAAGACATATTGTGCACTAGATACTTTTTACTTTATAATGACCTTATCAGCTCCAGTTGTATTTCAATTAGTAGTTCTTAATAAATCACCTCTTAGAGAGATATAATACATTGTCATTTCACCCAGCTAAAATGGGACAAAAGGCACACTTGTGTCTTCAGATAGAACTGGATTCCTGTAGTGGGCTGTCCACTCCACTGGGACATTTTTGTTCTGTACTTTTTCATATGTCCTTGTTGGCAACCTTTGTTCATTACTTCTATAGCTCAGGGAGACTTAATTATAGTGCATTGACTAAGACAGTTGGGTCCAAAAAGCCATATCTTCATGGGAGGGCTTACAAAGTTCTGGGAAATAAAGGAAGTGATGAGAAACCTCATGAACTTTTTAAGGTAAGAAAGTGGACTATAGGCACCAACTATTTTTTAATACGTTCAGATGGAACTTGTGTACTATTGCACTGTGTAAACATTTTCAGGGATAATGTATTGGTTTTGGATCTGGTGCTGTGTGAACATCTATATTATTGTGAAGGTAATCTTTATGAATCTTTATGAACTCCTTTGACTCTATATCTAGAAGTGTCATTGATACATAATAAAGAAAGTATCCATCAGCTTACATAAATACTCTGAAAAATTGACCAAGTGTCTGCAACAATGAGGTTAAATATGACTTCATGACCACATGTCTGATTGTGTAGAGTTGATTCTAGGTGCTTAAGAACACACTCTGAAGAACACAGGTTTTTGGGGACACCCAGAACAGTTGTAGAGTGATGGTGTGCTTAGGCTGAATGCTGATGAGCTGCTAGATTGGGGCTAATTTGGGATGAAGCGTGGACAGTATAACGTGTCTCAAATAAGGGTAGAAGAACAGCACTGATTTTATCCACAACACTTTTTCCAGCAAATGTGTATTGTAGTTTCTTTCTATGCCTACAAGGTCTTTAGTGCTAGAGACAGAAACTATGTCTCAATTCCGTCAAATTCTGACACTATCTCAAATTAAAAGTCTGAACACAGCTATCCTTGTGTATTTCCACTGAGATATTCTTAGTGTGAGATTTAAAAAGTTGTTATATGCTGGCTCAGATTGGCAGTTCATCTAGACTATAGCCTTCAGAAACAGAAATTTAGGAAATAGATTTCTTCTGTTACTCTTAAGTTCACAAAATCATTTCTGAGGCAAAATTGGAAATTTTTCTTTTTGTTTGGCCTTTAAACTATGTCTTGGTTACTTTCCTCTCATTGCTGGGACAAAATACCTGACACCCAAAATTAAGGAAGGAGAGGTTTATTTAACTTATAGTTTGTGAAGGTTTCAGTCCATACTTGGTAGATTACAAGGCAGAGTGGCACATGGCAGGGAGTTACAGCTCATGGCGGCAGAACACAGCGAAGCGACAAACACACACCGGGGTGGAATGGCCTCAAGCACCCTTTTCCTCTCCCTTACATATGTAAACTATCCACCTCAGGGTGGGTGCAGCCCTCACACCCATAATCAGTCAAACTCTAAAAGCCTGCCCCATGGCCGCATGAGGCTTTGGGGGGATACCCAGACACAAACCATAACAAACTAGCATGAAAAACTGAATCTAAGTGTACTGGGAAGGGTATACTCAAGGACAGAAATGACTGCAGCGTATTTCTTTGAATTACTGAAGATTGAACCTGGAGATTTTCCTCTGAGTGACATCCAACCTTTTACATGTTTGGTTTTATTATTTTGAATTTTCATACTAGGTCTTGCTGTGGAGCTCAGGCTGAGTTTGACACTCTTATCCTCTTGCCTTAGTCTCTCAGAGTGGCATTATCACAGGTGTGAGTCACCAAGCATAATTTTATAATAGGATCACCATGCTTGGTTAAATTAAACATGATCAGTTACTCATTTTAATGTAAAGAATGTTGAA